GACTGTATGTCACCCTGAGGTTTTCATAACCATAGAAGTCATAGAATGAGGTGAGCCTGCCTTTGGATGATAAAATTGAATCCCCTCTGTGGAATCTAACTGGACTATCTTACAAACACTATTGTAAGACCTGGAGAATTCAGAAAACCTTAGATGGACTATTTTGCCTTCATGTGTTTTTATGTCACATCTGAATTATATAACCCTCTTTTATTCATTTTCTGGCTATGGAGACAATGGACATTTGAGAGGTTGATCTGGTAAAAGTGGGATTTTAGTATCTTTGCATCAGTTTCTTCATATCCATTCTGTTTTAGAATAGGTGGAATTTTGGTATATTGTGAAAATTTCTTCAGTATTTCACAAAACTTGCCTTTATTTCTCCTTCTAAAGCCTCGTTGTCTATAAACTTATCCATTTGTCCCCATACCTGAAAGATCAGTGCTGTCAGCTTAGGTCATGAAAAAAAAAAGTATAGTGGTATTTAAAATCACTAGTTGTGAAGTGAGAGGTGTGAAATGCAGCAACATGGGTAATTTCTGGGTAGAAGGTTAGTAGTTCTATTGTAGCTTCCATTCATATGCCTTCAGTAAATTACTATAAGAATTTATTTTTGCCCTTTGGTGTTTCCTAAGAGTGACAAAGAATGGTGGTGAAGCCTGCTGCTATGATAATTTTATAGCCTTTTTCCCCCTCCTTCACTAACAGCAAATCTTCTAAAAAACATCTAAACCTGAAAGTGAAGGTTTTTTCTGAGCAAGAAAATAAAGTGGGGTTAGCCTGAAAAAATATAACAAGGCTTTGTCTCTCAGTTTCTGAAACTAATCTCATCTATCTTCATTTTTGAACACCACTTTTCAGTTGAATCAGGAGCAGTGTGTTATGTATTTTTTTCTTTTTGATAATCTGAGAAATATTGACCTATATGGAAAACACTTCTTCCTCTCACTACTGACAGCTTTCATTACTTCAATTGTTGCTATTTTTATATACAAGAACTATAAAGAAACTTGAGCTGAATGTAATCTTAACTGTAGAGAACTGGATGTGGATTGCCAACATACCAAATGACTTCGATTGTCAGAGTTAAGGTTTATCCTTGCCTCTTTAGATTATAATACATTATCCAAACAGAAGTCAGCTAATGGACCTTAAATTAGTATGAGTGGTCTACAAAGATATGGCATATCATTACATGAATCTGCTTTCCTTGAAGTCAGCAGAAAAATAACACATCAGTTTCAGCAGGAAAAAGAAAAGGTTATAGCCAGGTTACACTAAGATGTCTTAGTTCTTTTACCCTTGTAATTGAGCAGTGCTCTGTTTTGCAAGTATAGGTTTAATATAAAAATAGATTTTAATGAAATTAAAAGAAAGATTTTTTTAGTCTAGTACCTGCTATATTTAGTTCTGCCTGGAGTGTGGCTAGGGGTGTACCTGTGTCCTTTGACTTTAGCAAATATAACTGTCTTGCTTCAAAAAAAAGAGAAAAAAATACAATAAGAAAAGCAAGAAAACAAAATCTTCGTGTGCTGTCAAAATAGCTGTTTCACTAGGTTGGCTAATCATGTAATGTGGTTGAATGGCACTTTAGTGTTTTGGCTATTTTATCATCAATCTGATCACAGCCCAGGTGACAGGAGCAGGGCTGTACCTTCTAATCCCCCAGTAAATGACCCGTGTCTGTCTATTTTTAATCAGACAGCTCCCTCCATCATTCAGATCACTTGGAAGTTGCTGTGGGAAGGCATGTGCACACTCCTTTGTCTTGTCACTGGCTCATACAGGGACAACCTGTGTGTGGGAGAAAGGGGTTACAGTCAATTGTCCTGCAGAACATAGTCACCTTTCAACAGGACATCCATTGCAATGTTTGTGCCAAACTAATAATGATGGGAACAAACCAACTTTGTACAGGCTTTCTGTTGGTGCCCTTTGCAGAAAAAAAAATGACTGCTGCTTCTTTAAGTCATGGGGACTCCCATTTGCTGTGACAGCTTTCCAATTGTTAAATAAACTCTGACCATGAGCAGCTGTCAGACAAATATTGCACTGCAGGCTTCAGTTAAAAGGAGCACCAGACAAGCATTTCAGTGCCTAAAGGCTCTTTTTATCTTTTTTTAAAGACACACTTTAAAAAACTCCAAAACCACAATGAGATAATGTGAGTCATTTACTAGGGAAAAAAAATTATTTTATATACTCTATGCAATTTTCTTGTGACAGTTATAGAATGTGAGTATGTCCATTTCTGAGAAAAGGCCTATGTGGAGCATGAAATATCTCAAATGTGCACTACCTTTCTGATAGCAAGGTAGGAAATTGAGATGCAGAAATCCTGACATTAGACTTTATAAATACTACTAATCATATTCAAATTCTCGTGGGAAAGCAAGAGGAATTACACTGAGCTTCCTCAAAGCCATAGAATGTCATTTTATCATTTGTACTTTTGACAGTAATCTAGCTCAACACTTCTGATGTTATTGCTTTTTGCTGTCTGAACAACTTGAGCTGATTGAAGATGTCCTTGCTCATTGCAGGGGGGATTGGACTGGATGACCTTTAAAGGTCCCTTCCAACCCAAATTATTCTGTGGCTCCATAATTCTGTGATGATGTTGCACCCTAATGTATAGGAAAGCAAGAAAAAAAAACAAAGACGGTTTTCACTACAGAAGGTCTAACAGGCTAACTCCAATATGCAAGAAAATCATCTTAAGGTAAATATATAGTGAGTATATGGGAAAAAGCCTTATTATTGACGTTATAATTACAACTGAGGAGGGAGATTGCCATTAAATTAGGAAGAAGGTGTACTTCCTCCTATCTCAGTTTCCAGACTGATACTCTCTACCCTTATCTCACTAAAAGTCAAGCTGGAGATCTTGGATTAGGAATCAGAGTTGTCCGGAGCTCCACTGGAAGAAGTGCAGAAGATACATTCAGCTCACCTGGCTGAGGAGACAGTCAGTCAGCTCTGGACATGCCTTATCCCATTGATATTGAAGCAGAAGCCTAGCTCAAACACAAACTAAAACCAATCCAAACCAAACCAAACCCAAAATAAAACTAATCATGGCAACTAATTTCAAAAGGCAAGGTGTGGGCTAATTGTGTGGAGGTAGGAGTTCTAGACAATATGTAAGAAGTATTTATTGAAAAATCAATATTTTTTCATGATATAGAGAAAATATGATTAATATTTCGTATACAAGTAGTAGTAATTACTAGTTTTAAGTGTAGCTTCTTCCAAAATTTCAAATTTAAGTAACTAATGAGCTAACTAACTAACTAACTAGTTAACTAATATATGTTTTCACCACTCCAGTTTTGTTTAAAGACAGAGAGGAATATATCCAGTAAAAATATAAAGCAGTAGGAAATGGAAAAAGTCAATTTAAAAATCAATCTTCCCTGATTTTTTCTATTGACTCCTGTTAGAAATAACATCCACAATTTTTATTACTGAAATGGATCACATAAAAAAATCTCAGGGTGTTAAATTATTTATTTTATGCTTTTGAAAACACTTTTGGGTAATGGGTTTCACTTTTTCACCTTTCATATACCTCATCCTTTCTCACAGAAAAAACGGAAACCATTCAAAAATGGAAAATTATAGCATTTTCTTGTTTGTGCTCATACTTGTGCTTTTGAGTCAATATTCTTCGCACAGATACAAATGATGATCTTAAAGCCATGGTAAACATAATGCATCATGGTTTTAAACAAACTGATTTTTATACAGGACTAAATGTTTACATAATATAGGGCTTTGTGGAGACTTGAACCAGGAAATTAATTCAGTTTTTAGAAAGCAAAGCTTAGAAGGGAAGGTTTGAGAGCACTACACCAACGATGGAATCAATTGCTATAGTCAATGCAAATGTGATTTCCATGTGCGAAGGAAGCATGAAGAAGGGTCCTTTAATAAAAATAGTCAATTTGCAGCCATAATTTTCTTTGAAGATATTGGTTGTGGATTCATTAAAGTCATGGAAAGGAGTAAATAATGACCTGTTTTACTCCTTCTTTTCATGGCTTTAATGAATACATTTTCCATAAAATCAGACGGAAGTTTTCTTTCTTAGTCTTCCAAATTTTCCATTTTGAAGCAAAAATGGAATTTCCCTTTTTCCTGTCTTTATTAATGAATTAATCTAAGTTGGTATTGCTGGGGTATGAGATTAGGGCTGGGAAATGGAAGATAAATATGTTTATCTGTTCTAGGTTTCAGAGCAGGAAGCTGGAATAATGGCAGGGATAATGTGAGAGATCAGTTCGACATCAAACTTTCTGTCTAGGCAAGCAAGACAACCTTTTTCTGAACATGGATCTTACTGGAATAAACTTTCACCATAGCTCCTTTCCTGCTACAGAATATGACATGGCACAGAAACTGTGTTGGATCCAATGCTTTCCTAGAGAGTCAGGTTTACTGGGCACAGGGACCAGAGCAGGCACAGCAGCAATCACTTCTTCTCTGGTGACAGCCGCCAGGAGCAAATGTGCCTTTCCAAAAATGCTCGTGGCCACTGCTGCCTGTCCTGTTGTTGCTTCCTTGAAGAGAGATTACAGGCCAGAAAATCTAGTGGTTTGTAAAGCTGCTGCCAGCTGCTGTTCTTCTCTGCCTGCACTGTTGGGACCTTGGGGCACTCAGGAGAGGCATTTCTGGGAGTGAGCTGCAGAGCAGGCAGGTTGTCCTGGCAGGTAGTGTGCCAGCTCTGTTGTGGGGGTCTTTGCTGCAGCTTGGCTACAGATACAATGGCACTCTTGGGTTTACATGGCATAGCATGGTGGCCACCTCAGACAGCTGTATGAACAGATTCAGGTCAACAAAAGCTGGGCCAAAGAAAACCGTCAAAGACAAGTCTTTTATGTTTTGTATTCGACTTTATTCCTTTCATTTTCTCCGTTTTCTGTGCTATATGCTTGTATGCCTTTCCACTTGTCAGTGATCTGATAGGATGCCTCTGTTTTCTGGTTTTTTTTCTGCAGGATAAAAGCATGGGTGGATAAGATGCAGGAAGATCTCGTGACGCTCGCACGAACTGCAAGCGGAGTGGACCGGCTTGCTGAAGTAAGAGGTGTCCTAGACTGCTGTGACTCGAAAGTGAAGGGCTTGGATCTTCTAGGCTTTTCAAACATTTCATCCCAACATACAAAAATGATTTTGGGGGATAACTCTGCAGTGTTTACTGAGAGAGAAATGAAGACCAGACATCCATCAATTCACTCTCAGTGTTGCAGCCCTTCCCCATTGATAATATTTAATCAGCTTTGCTGTGTCAGACATAAGGCTTGCCATTGTTGCAACACTCCCACCTGAAGCAAGCACTTTTGTATTCTGTGTTTGTCAAATACGGTATCCAGGAAGCAACCATTCACAGTGGTGGAGAATCCTGCTCTCTATTAAAGAGAGAACCTATCATTCTGACACATATTTCATGAAATGAGGCAGCTTTTGGTTAGCAGAAACATAGATGAGAATGAAAACTACTTTTATTCAGCTTTCAAATTTAATACCGAGTTTGTTTTAAAGAATTCACAAATTTTTCATTGAGATTTTCTTTTTGTGTGTTATTACTCTATTCAGAGATACATTTGCATGTGCAACACATGTGCCATTGCAGAAAAATGAAGGCAAAATTAAGAACATGTCAGAATTACACTACCTATACAATTTTGTATGTGTCCATCACAATCCAGAATACAACCATATGATCATTTCCCTCTCTCTATCCCTGCACAAGAGCTATGGCTCTTTCTTTGAACTGATGGATATCTGATTTGAGGTGAGGGAAGTTTTGCTGCTACATCAGGAAACTGAGTTATTTTTTGCCAGCAAAAGCCCCTGGTCCTGGGGAACTGAATGTGAAGCCTTGAGATTTGGTTTTCAGAAAATGATCCCAAATAATCCATTAAATGGATAGCAGAGGTTTTGAAGCCATTAAGAAACCTAGAGAAAAAATAATGTGTGAAATTGTCAGATTTAGCATTGTGTATTAATGTATTCCTCTGACCTTAATGACCTTTTCCCCAGACATTCATGTCTTGCATGTATCCTGTCCCTGAAGGACATTTTGTCTTTACTGACTGTAAGAAGAGGATGATTAGCTCAGATGCCCATTAGCTCAGATGAGATCACCACTGTCTTGCAAAAGGAAGGGCTGTGTCACTGCGTGCACGATGAACATAAATGAAGATTGCAGAGTTTATTTTAGTTCTGGCCTTTCCTAATATTTGACTGCATCCTATTGCAACACAATTTAAGGCAGATGCTTTAGATACACATTCTAATCTTTAAAAATCCTAAAGCAACTGAAAACGAAATATTGACATCCTAACACAAATCATCAGATTCGGACAAGCATGGGTTTCCAATGCAGAAATGTCTAGCACTTGAGCTTGCTGAGGAAATGTAAGGTTTAGAAACGTGGAACTCTCATTGGAGTTTTTGTAGGTGGATTTCACATGCATCTGCTGACAGGAAACTTGAACAAGAATTGCAAATCATCAGTCTCCAAATTCTGGTATGGAGCTTCTGCTATGAGTCCTTTTTTGCTTATTTAATTTAGGTGTGATCTGGTCTATCCTGCACTTTCTGTGTCTCTTTTTTCTCACTGATTCACCATTCAACTTTTCATTCTTTTCCTGCTGTGTTGCTTGGCTGTCTTTCATTTCTCCTCAACCTGTGCTATGTTTCTGTCTCAGTTTCTGCCTTTGCTGCTTGGCCAGTCTGCCTTTCTTTTTTACACTAGTTTCTTGTCTCTATTTTAGGATCTCTCTCCTCAGCTTTTTCCAGATCAGCACCTCTCTCTTAACTCCTTCATTTTTCTTAGCATTTCCAAAACATTCTGTCCAGGTGTCCGTAGTGCCTGTCACAATATTCTCTTCCACAGGAGTTTCTCTTCCCCTTTCTCACATTTCCCTTCATCACTAATTCTCAGTCCCAGACCTGTAATTTTCTCCTGTATGGTTTTTTCTATTTCACCTTCCCTTCCACTCTGATCTCCTTATTCTTTGCTTGCCATTTTCCAGTCTATTATCTCCTGTTTCCATACTTCAGTCTCTTGCCCTTTGTCCTTCATTCAGTTTTCTCTCCTCCATTTCCCACTGTGTAGACCTGAGAGACCACAGCAAGTCTGATCTTTAACTGCAGAGAAGGTGGGACATTCTCTAGGAGTGATGTTCTCTAAGCTGGAACACACCGGTGTTCTCTTCAATTTAGCTGATGAAATCTCTGCAGGCTCTTTTCAGGCTGATTTTTTTTTTTTTACGCTAGAGACTAAAATATATCTTTAAATACACACCATTGATATTTTAATCTACAGTGAATAGGCAGTAGGAAAATAAGTTACACAGGATTTCTAACTGGAGCAAAACAATGAGTTAATGTCTCAACCATTTTGCTATGCCTTCCTGTGCAAGGACCACATAGTAAAAGAGAGAATGAAAAACCAAGAGATTGATGTTGTCATTCTTTTTTTCCCCTGAGGTAATTATTAGTTTATGTAGTTAATATTTGGAAAATTTACAAGCTGCTAAACAGTCTTACAATGAAAACTGCTGGGCAAGCCTAATAGTCTGTAGTGCTACCACCTTTGCCACAGTGGCATTCATGTGGATAAAAACAAAAACATGAGTGTTGAATATTACAGGTAAGTTTCTTTTGAATAGCCAGAATTTATAACAGACTTCAAGCAAATGATGTTATCTCAGAGGGTATTTACAAGATGGTCGATATGTGTGTGTAATCCTAGGATTAAAAGCATGAAAGGGGGATGTTTCAATGTAAAATATATCAAAGCCATGTGTTTGACCTAAGTGGCATGATGTCTTTCTCTAGACATGAGATTTTAATTAGGTCTCTTGGCTGCAAGAGAGAGCACAAAGCCCTGCAAGGTGTAAGCCGTGCAATCTCTCACTCTCTTCTTGTTTACAGGATATTGTTACTTTCCCATTTCTGAATGACATTTTTTTTTCTTCTGCTCACTGCCTATTAACATTTAGTTAGATCTCTTCTGAAATGAAGCACAGTCTTGGAAAAATGGACACTACAAGACATGAAAAACAGCACTCCTGCATGCCTGTCACTTTTATTCACAGAACTTGCCTTCAGTTGCTCAAGCTTTAAAAATGCTTACAGTCAGATTGAATTTTCGGGTTTTTTTCTGATTTATTTCTTCTTCCAGCTCCAGAATTGTTTGGACCAAACCTGTAATCTTCATGTAAACTGGAAAAAAGAAATAATTTGTTTGGATTTTCTTCCCGTTCTCTCTCTAAAAGCACAATAAATGATATAAAAAGAAGGAACAAATTGCTCCTATTATAAAATAGTAAACATGATTTTCTGTCAAAAGCTGTAATAATCAGATTGGTATGAGAAATGTCTTCCCTTGTTCTCAGGAAAATTAATATTAATTTGGCCAAGTGTAATGTTAAGGCTCTTAGCAAGAACATGTAACAGATTATAACCATTTCACAGCCTGGTCAACCTCTCCCTGGGCTCAGGGAAAGAATTCCCACTGATTCAGCTGAAGTTACAATCTGTGTCTTCTTTTTTGTACAATTAAGTCTTCTATGAAGACCTCTAAAGTGACCAAGATAGGTCTCAAAGTAGCACAATTAATATGTTCTCACCTAGAGTGAACTAATTCTCTGTAAGGCAGGGTTTTTTCAATTAGCTGCTGTGCTAATGATGCTCCCATGACTTGCTGAAAGTATCTCACGGTTCATCAGTGCTGTTTGTGCTTGGATGTGCCTTGGATGTCTGGGGGTCTTCGTGCTGCAGGGAATTACCCTATAGTCTCTTCTGGAGAACTATAAAATATATTTTTATGACCATGACGGGGAGGGATAGGAATACTGCCTTAATTTTCAATTATTTTGATTTTAGACTGGGAGAAATTTTGACCAGAGAGAATGTAAAACTCAGAGTGTAATATGTACTTGCAACGGAACAAAAAAATTAAAATGTCGATGACCATTAAAGTCAGGTGAGGTATGTGGTAAGTGGGTAGCTGTCCTGTTGAGATCAGTACCTTGGTAGAAATCTGATTTATTCTGCAGTGTGGACATAGACAACCAGGGAGAGTATTTTCTGTATTTAAGGTGTTCACATTCAATATGTACTAAGTTTCATGGAATCATATTTAAGGAGAATCTCAGAAGAGGATTCCCTTTTCTTTGTTCATTCACAATTTTTACAGTTATTTGGAATCTCAGTCTTGTCCTAGTGGCTAACCACTCTTACTCTTGTTTTTGGATATATAATATAGCCATTGTAAACCACTGTAGCTCTCACTAACCACAGCTTTTGAAAATATCTGTATAGAGAGGAAACGCAGTAATATATTAATTAACATTCCACATAGTGTTTAAAAAACCAAAATATTTGGGAGTTAATTAGTTCATTAGTGATTCTGCCTCTGAAACTATGAATATATTTGTGCTGATGCACATTTCATACACCTTTTCTCTTGTTAGCAATGATGACAGCAATCTAATGCCTGTAGTAAGAAAAATTGCAAAAGAAAGCTTGGATGCCATTAAAATTATGAGTTTTACTTTGAGGCTACTCTTATCCATAGCCTTAACCAGGCAAAGCAGTATAACTGGAGTAGAAGAAAAAAGGAGCTGGAGAGGCAGGTAAAAGCTATTTATTGTGATGCCAAAAGGAAACATGGTGGGATTGGGGTGTCCTGCACAGGTCCAGGAGTTGGACTTGATGTTCCTTGTGGGTCCCTTCCAGGTCAGCACATTCTCTGGTTCTGTGATACTCTCTGGGAATGGTCTCAAAATATTCTTCCAAAAAGATATTTAAAGCACATATTTAAATCCTGCTTTTTTTGGACATTACTATGAGTTTAGGTGAGATCTGGGAGAACTCCAACTTGGATGTAATACCAGTGTAATATCCTCATTACAGTAATGCAATGATTGCTTCAACAAGGCAGGAAGTTGGTATTCAAGATGCCAAAATACTCAGCTGGTTGAAAACTGGCAGAGCTCCACTGACTGCAGTGGATTACACTAATTTACATTTGCTAAGAATCATGACTAACAACATTTAATTTA